TTGCTTGAGAAGCATCTATGGATGCAAGCCAGCATTTTGCTCGCTTTACTAGTCACAACATCACACTGAAGGCTCATGTTCATCTTGTGGTCAACCATGACCTCCAAGTCCCTTTCGTCTGTAGTGCTAACCAGCGTAGTACTGCTGAGCCTATAAGCATGCTTCAGGTTTTTCCTCCCAAGGTGGAGAACCTTGCATTTTTTGGTGTTGAACGCTATCAGGTTCTCATCCGCCCATTTCATGAGCCTGTCAGCATCTGCCTGGATCACCCTCCTGTCCTCAGGTGTGGATGCTTTACCTCAGAGTTTGGTGTCATAGGTGAACTTGGCCAGCCCACTTCTGACATGAATGTCTACATCGCTGATGATGTTAAAAAATATAGGCCCTAGGACAGAGCCTTGAGGGACCCCACTGGTCACTGCGCACCATAACAATTGACTTCTGTCAACCGTCACCCTCTGGGTCCGACCATGGAGCCAATTCCCCAGCCAGCGGATCGTGGTGAGGTCAAGGCCGCAGTTAGCCAGTTTTGCCAAGAAGCGATCATGGGATACCAGATTGAAGGCTTTTTTGAAGTCAAGATATACAACATCAATCTCTTCCCCCTTGTCCAGGTGATACAAGCCCATGCTGGGTATCCCTCAGGATATTGCCGTCAGCTAGTTTGTTAAGGTTGGCCTCGTTGATAATCTTTTCCAAGACCTTCCCCAGGATAGAGGTCAGGCTGATGGGCCTGTAGTTTGCCGGATCTATTTTTCTCCTTTGAAGATAGGCACCACATTGGCCTTCTTCCAATCTTCGGGCACTTTACCAGAGCACCAGGAGTTCTCTAAGATCCATGCTAGGGGCTGAGCTATGATGCTTGCCAGCTCCTTGAATACCCTTGGGTGTAAACTGTCACGGCTGGCTGACTTGAAGGTGTCCAGCCTCAACGTGTTCCTTCACGAGGTCAGCTTTGATGGAGGGTAAGGAATCTCCCTCACCCAGGCCTCCCTGATCCACAGTGAGCAAGGGTGTCCCATGGGACTGATGAAAAACTGACGCAAAGTACCCATTTAGCAAGTTTGCTTTTTCATGGGCATTGGTTGTCAGTTGTCCCATCTGGTGTAGCAGGGGTCCAATGTTGCCCTTGCTTTTCCTCCGGCTCCCCACATATCTAAAAAAGGACTTGTTATTGTCCTTGATATTTGTAGCTAGCTGGAGTTCCGTTGCAGCCTTAGCTTTCCTGGTTTGCTCTCTGCAGGTCTGGACCAGATCAGAGTATTCCTCCTTGGTGGTGGATCCCGTCTTCCATCCTTTGTAGGTCTTCCTTTTAAGACGCAGGAGGTCTGCTAATTCCCTGGAGAGCTAAAGGGGCTGCTGTGCCCTTTTGCTGCCTTTCCTCTGAGACAGAATAGACTTTGCTTGCACATCCAGGATTGCTCCCTTGAGGAGAAACCACTCATCCTGAACTCCCCTCTCCTTTGGGTTGTGGCCCTTTAGGGCCTCACTGGCAAGCCTCCTTAGCTTGTCAAAGTCAGCTTTCCTGAAGTCAAGGACTTCTGTATTACTGACTGACTTGCCAGCTTTACAGTGGATGGTGAAGGTGATCAGCTCGTGGTCACTGTCACCCAGCTTCCCTTCAATCATTAAGTCTCTGATTAGGTTGTCCCCCGGTTGCCAGTACCAGGTCAAGCAGTGCTTTACCTCTTGTCAGCCCGTAGACTTCCTGCATCAGATAGAGGTCATCCATGCGCAAGAGAGCGCTTTGTGACCGCTCGGATTTGGCTGAGTGCTCCTCCCATGAGATGTCTGGGTAGTTGAAGTCTCCTATGAGACAACAACTGTACACCAGGAGTGCACAGCCTCAGCCAATTCCCTGGCAAATTCCTGGTCAATGTCTTGACCCTGGGTGGGGGGTCTATAGTAGACTCCCCTGTGCTGTGTTCCCCACAGATTTTAACCCAGAATCTCAAGTCATCCACCATGGGGGGCAATGTCAGCTTGCAGGGATGCATAGCTTTCCTTGACATGGAGAGCTACACCTCCGCCCCTTTTGTCCACTTGATCCCTCCTGTACAGGGTATAGGCGTTTATACCCATGGTCTAGTCATGGATAGAGTCCCACCAGGTCTCCATTATCTCTATGACATCATAGTTATTTGCGTTTAGCAGGAGGACAAGTTCCTCCTGTTTATTCCCCAGGCTCCTGGCATTTGGGGACACTTGCGTGCCTGTACACTTGGAGGCCCTTGCCTTGCCTACAGTTTGTTCCAGGGCTGGGGCAGGGGTGGGTTCCCTTAAGTGCCTTGGTCTGCTGGCTTTGCAAGGGTTGCTCAGCTGGTCAGCAGTGGCAGTAGTCCCTCTGTCCCCTGGCGGGCTTAGTTTAAAGTCTGATGGAGCAGGTCAGCTAGTCTGGCTGAGAAGGGCCTCCTCCCCAGCGGAGAGAGGTGGAGGCTGTCCCTTCCCAGCAGCTCGCTACCTCTGTCACCAAAGAGTGGGAAATCAGTGTAAATTTCACCAAATTCAGCTGAAGTGGAATATTTGCGGAGCTCTCTGAAGTAGTTTCTTTGCAATTGTCTGGTAAGAGCTTGGAGGTACTAGTGAAGGAGGTGGCTATGTTAGGTCAGGAAGAAAGCAGGATAGGGTGGCACCTTGGAGGTTAACATTGTGTCTTCTGTCCAGGGTGGGGAAGGGGAAGAGAATTCAGAGTTAAATCAGCCAGCCTAACTTCAATTCCTGGAAAGATACTGAAAAAATAAAATTAAATGGCGATAAATTATAGCCAGTGTGGATTTGTCAAGGATAAATCAATCTAATTTAATGCTGTGAGGATAACTGGTTTATGGGTAAGAAAGAAGCAAGAGGGATGATATATTTTGACTTCAGTAAGGCTTTTGACACTGATGTCATTCTCTTAAAACAGCATAGGAGAATACTGTACTTTCTTCAGGACTGTAGACTGATATGGGGTACTTAATGGCTTATCTCAGACTGGAAGGATGTGTTCTATGAGTTCTGCAGGATTCTGTCCTGAGTCTTGTACTGTTTAGCATGTTTTTTTATTACCAATTTTGATGGATTAGAATAAAACAATTAAATCTGCAGATGATAAATGTGGGTAATTCTAATTTTGCCTTCTGAAATTATTGTAAATTAAAATCTTGACAAATTGTAAAAAATGGTCTGAAATAAGCAGGACTCAGTTGAATGAAAACAAATGCAAAGCACTACACGTGGCTAACAAGAATACACGGATGTGAAATAAAGAATTACTAGCTAGACATCTGCTTTGTAGAAGTATCTGGAGATTACAGTGGATAATGAACTGAACATCAGTTTCACATAGATGTAGAAGCAGGAGTGTGGGAATACACATGTGTTGAGTACAGTAGAAAAATCATTACTAGTAAGGCTTCAGATGAAGCACTATATACAGCTCTGAGCACTGTACTTCATGAAAGATGTGGACTTGAGACCATTCCTCCTTATTCTGTCACCTGCCACCACTGAGAATAGTTTAGCTCCATCCTCTTTGTAAGCTCCCTTCAGATAGCTGAAGGCTGCTATTAAATCCCCTTTCAGTCTTGTCTTCTCTAGACTAAATAAGCCCCGTTCCCCTCAGTCTCTCCTCAGAAGTCATATGTTGCAGCCTTTTCACCATTTTTGTTGCCCTTTGCCGGATTCCTTTTGGCCCAATCCTCCAATTTGTCTAGGACACTCTGAATCCTAGCCCTACCCTCCAACATATCTACTATTCCCCCCAGCTTGGTGTTATCTGCAGACTTGATGAGGATGCACTATTTTCCATCTTCGTTGTTGATGAAGATGTATTGAACAAAGCCGGTCCCAGGACTGACCCCTTGGGCACCCCACTTGATACCAGCTGCCAAGTAGTCATTGAGCTATTAATTACAACCCTCTGAGCCCGATGCTCCAGCCAGTTTTCTGTCCACCTTACATTCCATTCATCCAGCCCATATTTCCTTAGCTTGCCTGTGAGACTGTTGTGGGAGACCGTATCAAAAACCTTGCTAAAATCAAGGTATACCGCATCCACAGAGCCAGTCACCTAGTCATAGAAGGCAATCAGGTTGGTCAGGCATGACTTGCCCTTGGTGAATCCATGCTGACTGTTCCTAATCCCCTTCTTTTCCTCCATGTGCTTAGAAATGGATTTCTTGAGGATCTGCTCCATGATTTTTGCAGGGACTGAGGTGAGGCTGACTGGTTTGTAGTTCCCTGGATCTTCCTTTTTCCTTTTCTTAAATATGGGCACTATGTTTGCTCTTTTCCAGTCATTTGGGACCTCTCCTGTTCACCATGAGCTTCAAAGATGATGGCCAGCAGCTCTGCAGTCACATCTGCCAACTAGCTCAGCACCCTCAGGTGCATCCTGTCCAGCCCCATGAACTTGTATATGTCCAGCTTTTCTAAATAGTCCCTGACCTGTTCTTTTGTCACTGGCTGCTTACCTCCTCCCCAAACTGTGCTTCCAGATGCAGTAGTCTGGGAGCTGACCTGGCTTGTGAAGACTGAGGTGAAAAAGGCATTGAGTTATTCAGCCTTTTCTGCATCTCTATTCAGTAAAGGACCCGCACTTCCTTCGTCTTCCTTTTGTTACTAACATTCTTGTAGAAACCCTTTTGTTACCCTTCACAGCCCTGGCTTGCTGCAACTCCAATTGCATTTTGGCCTTCCTGACTTAATACCTGCATGCACAAGCAATACTCTTATACTTCCAGCCCCGCCCCAGTTTTTTGTTCAGTTCTCCACTTCTTATAAGCTTCCTTTCAGTGAGCTAAATCACAAAAGAGTTCCCTTCTAAGCCACGCTGGTCTTCTGCCATACCTGCTAGTCTTCCTTTTTCAGGATAGTTTGTTCCTGCACTCTCAGTAAGGCTTCTTTAAAGTACAGCCAGCTCTCCTGGACTCCTCTCCCCCTCACACTGGCTTCCCAGGGGATCCTGCCCATGAGTTTCCTGAGTGAGTCGAAGTCTGCTTGTCTGAAGGCCAGGGTCCTTACTCTGTTGCTCTCCATCCTTCCTTTCCTCAGGATCCTGGACTCAATCATCTTGTGGTCGCTGCTGCCCAAGTTGCCATCTAGCAAGTTTTATGAACTTGCTGTTTTAAAAATAGGGAATGCCAGTTGTCCTCCCCTGCCCAAAGAGTAGTTTTTTCCATTGGAAAAAACAAACACTATGTGCAATTTCTTCCTAAGTGCAAATTACCCAGTTCTGGACACAACACAAACAGTACTTCTGTTGCAACCCAGTGTATATGAAGGAATTGCCAGTTCCAGCAGAGGTGTGCTGTAGAGATGAAAAAAGGCAGTTTGTAGAAATAAAGAAAAATCTGTGATAGTGACTTTAGGATGTTTTGTTTTTCCTTATATACTTTTGAACTAAAACATCTTTCCAATCACAGCTTTTTGGTGTTGCTTCATAGATCTGGTCTAAGCTTTAAATACTCTCCCGAGGGAGCAGCAGATATTTGACCCTTGGTCTGGGGAAGATCGATGCTTTTAAATGCTGGAGTAAACTGTCAATACATGATAAAAATCTGTGACCACTGTAGTTCATGTCCAAATTATGGCAAATTACAGGATTCAGTAACTTTGCAAAATAAGTCATACTGGTAATGCTGAACAAATCAGTTATGTTTCACTGTGATACATAATACTTAATTGTGTCTACTTCTCTCTTCCATCAGACTAAAAATGGCAGGCTTTTTGAATTAATTACAGAACAGGTAAATATATCAGACTGCATTCTACCCTAAAAGAGACATTTATGCCTTTTAAATATAAAAAAAAAAAATGCAGTGCCCTGCCAAAGAGAGATGATTTCTTTCCTGTTAAAGGAAATTGTTCCCCAAGATGCAACAAATGCCTTTTTGATGAAGGTTGCTTTTGCATTTGAAAAAAATAATGTAGAAAAACCTCTAGAGATGGTGAATAATAAACATAATCTGGTATGTGTTTTGCTTGCTTTTTTTTTTGTTTAATAGGTTGAAAATCTAGTAGATGACTTCTCTGTAGCTGATGTAAAACCAACAGATGAAATGCACATTACTTTAGGACCTGAGAAATTGCCTTGTGCATCTTCAGTCGATCCAGATGATGGCCAGTTACCTTTTGTTGGACAAATGGAGATATTGCAAAGTTCTCAGACTGCAGTTCCAGATGCTGATGAATTATTGTTGACTTTAAAAGCTGAGAAATCTCCTCCTACTTGCATCATAGCTGACCAGCCTCATGATGATTTGCCTGTTAGTCCTTCAGATTACAGAATTCTGTGTGGGATTGAAAAATGTGTTAGCAAAGAGATAAGCCTTATTCCTGATGACGATGATGGTTTTCCACCTCTCTTGCTTGGAATGAGAGAAAAAGGAGAAGGTAAAACATGAGCAGGGGGTGTTTGTGTTTAATTAGTGGATATATAGTTTTTAAAAAAATACATGGACCTCTACATACACTGGCATGCCATGAGCAGAGTTCACCTTTTTGAAAAATATTTCTTGGGCCATATACTGTGTTTAACCAAATCAAAGATGACTCCCCAATAACTAGATTCTAGACATGGAAAAGTGGAAAAAATTTATAAATTTGTTATGTCTAGAATCTGGTGGGTTTTTGTGAAGAGTTGCCCACCTTCCCTCTTTACCTCCTACCCCTCACTGCCAGCTCCATGGCTGGACTGCAGCTGTAGGCAGCACATGTTTTGTGCTCCTTGACCCTGGCCAGAGCAGGGCCTTAACAGGAGCTGGAGCTGCAAGTGAAAGGTGAGCAGAGGCTGTGGGGTTGGGTTGGGCAGCATCTGCATCTGTACTTCCAACTCCAACCCTGGCCCTTGAGTTGGAGTTCCAGCTGCAGTTGTGTGCCTCCCGCCACATTTCTAATCTAAGGTGAGGTGCTATTTTCCTGATGTTAAATGGGGGTGTGACAGGGTGCTCGGCACACCTGGCACTTCAAGAAGGGAAGAGGCTGCATGGGAAGTAGCAAGCGATTGTGGCAGGGGCCAGTTAGGGTCACTTGATCAGACAGAGGCCAGGCTTGAAGCATATAAGCCCATGGCCTGAACTAGCCAGGCAGTCTTGCCCCAAGAACCATGCTGAGAGGAGCTCTTGGGCAGCAGGGCTGCAGCAGGGCTCCTGGGGTAACGTCTGAACTGGGGTAAGCAACACAGGTTTGAGGAAGGGACTAAGGGGAAGAGGAGGTCCCAAGAGGCCTGGGAACACAGAATAGAGGGCTTGGGACACGGCAGGAGAGAGACTGAGTCTAGGAGGGGTGAGTGTAAGCCAGCCCAAAGAGCCTGGAGATCTGTAGCCCAGGAAGGTCAGGTGTCAACAGGGCTAGGGAGCCCAAAGGTCTCACTGGCCTAGGAGCGGGCCCAGAGCAAGAGGCCAAAGACCAGGGATCACAGCTGGAGACTGAAGGGGGCCAAGGAGCCCAAAGCCCTTGAGGGGTGAGGACTGAGACTGGGACCCATAACCCAGGAGGGCACATGTCAACAGGAATGAATATCATCTGTAAGGCATGGATGTGATGTAAAGGATGGTTGGAGCCATGTAATTAGCCCTTAAGGCAGAGAGCAGAGACACCTGAGCTCTGGAGTCCGAGCTCAAGCTTGGGAAGCCCTAGGGCAGACTCCCTTTATCTAAAATGGTGGCCCCCAACCGTCAATCCCAATCAACCGGTCGATCGGGGATCCTCTTTTAATCGACTCTGGGCTGGGGGGTGGGGCATGCATCATCATCCCCCCCCCCTCCCCCCCCCAGCCCCGCAAGGCCGGCCGGCCTTCGTCCTCCCCCCCCCCCCCCCCCCCCCCCAAGCCCAGCAGGCCAGTCTGGGGGAAGGAAGGGGTGAGAGCCAGATTGAGGCCCTCACAGTGAGGGATAGATGGTGTGGGCCAGCCAGGAGCTGGGGAAGGTAAGTAGGGCCCCAGGTGGCTGAGTGGTGGGAGGATTGCAGCCTTGGGGGCTCATCCAGGGACAGAGGAAGGGGGCTCCCGCTGCTGGGATAGAGGCAGCTGCTGCTGCACCTTGAGCCCTGCTGCAGCTGGTCACCTGCAGGTATGGCTCAGCCCCACTGCAGCTGGTCCAGGAGCACCTGCATGCCACGTGCATCCCACTGCTGGGCTCGGGGTGCAAAGGCCAGCCTGCAATGGTAGCTGCCTCTGGGGGGCACATGCCCCTCACAACATGGGGCAGTGGCGGTAGCTGCAGCAGCGGTGAGGGAGGGAGTGGGGCTGGGCCGGGGCAGCTGGGGCAGGTTGGGATGGAGCGGCTTGTGGCTCATCCGGTGGGGGGGGGCATGCACCATGGGAGAGCACGGGGTGGGGGTGCCCCTGGATCTGCATGCAGGGTGGGCTGCAGCTGCCAGGTGGGGCTGGGTTCTTCATGGTGCAGGGGCTGGGCAATGATGCGCTCAGGCCAGGTGGCAGTGTGGGGAGCGGGGCTACAGGGGGCTGCAGCCACCTGAAAATTTGTTGTAGCCCCCCCCGATCCCCTTCCCAGTGCCACCGCCTCCTGCCCTGAGTGAAGCATGGCCCAGCCTCTGCCGGGAAGAGCCCAGCACTGCCTCCCAGTCCCTTTTTCCCCCCACCCCCCAAGGGCATGGGGGCCATGTGCCTGGGATCTGCAGGGTGGGGCAGCTGCTGCTGCAGCCTGAGGCTGGGAGACAACGCTGCTGGGAGGAGGGTTGGGGGGGAACTACAGCAAACTTTTGGCTTGCTGCAGTTCACCCCAGCCCTGTTCCCAGCATTGCCACCACCCAGCCTGAATATAGCGTGGCCCATCCCCCCTGCCCAGAAGAGCCCGTCCCCAGCTGGCAGCTCCAGCCTGCCCTGTCCTGCCTCTATGCAGATGTGGGGGCACGTGCCCCCTTGCCCTCCTGGCTGCATATCTTCCCCCTTCCCAAGCCACCCAGACGAGCTGTTCACGGCTCTGTCCCGCCTGCCCCAGCCCTACTCCCTCCCTTACCACTGGTTGGGGGGGTGCAGTTCGAGGCCCCAGCATTGAGGGAGAGAGTAGGGCTGGGGCCTCTATCTACCCCATCACCCCCCACAGTCCTTCCCCTTCCCCTGGTCCCTTACCCCACAGACTTACCTGCTGGGGTGGCACACCCCCCAAATATTTTTTTTCTGCTTCTGCCTCAATCTGCCCCTCCCACTTCCCTCTCCACAGACTTACCTTCTTGGGGGGCGGGCGTTGGTGGCACACAATACATCTTGGGTTGCTTTTAAAATTCCAAAAGTGATCTCCTACTCAAAGGTTGGAAACCAATGATCTAAAAGATAAATACCTCAAGGCATAGCAGGCAAGTGAAGGGGTGACTGCTCAAAGAGTGAAGTAGATATGGTGTGAGGGGGTTCCAGAGACATCATTGCCACTCCTGGAATGAAACCCTGCTATGGGGGTAGAGAGGAGGGGAGGGGGAAAAGAAAACTGTCTTAGATTTGAGTAAATACAGTATATTATATACTGCTTTAATGTTCGATGTACCAAATTGTGCTTATTTGTTGTCTGCCTTTAAAGACAAATGCACAGTTCTTTGGCTGCTTAATAGTCATGTAATATTAACGATTTATCTTTTTTTTTTTTTTTTTTTTTTAACATGACATTTCAAGTAATGTTTCATGCATTTTATGGTCTTTGTAGTTGTTTAGACATAAGGGAAATGAATACTAGCTGTTATATTGAACCAAACCATATCTTAATTTATTTAGGTCCTGTAGTGGAAGAACACCCATCTCATCAGCAGGTTACTTCACTTCTCTCTGAAGGAGGACTGAATCCATTAACATTTATCCTAAACGCAAACTTCCTTGTGAATGTGAAGTTACTTTCTTGTAAGTAGTATGTTTTTTCTGTACAGCTATGATTTCTATAATATTTTGTATTGAGAATAAATAAGAATTCTCTTGATTATGTTGTGCTACTCAAATGAGCATGCTGCTTTTTGAAGCATTACTGTATAGGTTTCTTGATTATTTTTTTGTTAGTACTGTCTGATTAGACTCTTATCAGTAGACTTCAGACTGTGAGGAGTCTGAGGTATACATAGTGGATTTTTTGGTACATAAATTACAGAGTATTCAAATATTTGTGTGACATGACTGAAATCTTAATGCCCTGTTTTAGTCTCATACACAAAGATGCCACCCCTGTGCTAGAAACTTGCTGCATACTTATTAACATAAAAAGAACTGACAGAGACATCACATGATTATTTACAGACATGGACGCCTGCAAAGGGAGACTCTAGTGTAACGTTTTGCAATAAAAGACTTTGCAGTAAAGACTTCTAACTGTTACCTTAAGTAGAACATACAGTTCAGTCAAAGCCCCTATCCCATCAGTGTTCCATAGCTGCTTGTTAACAAGCTGTCTTTTTCCATAATAGCTGTGGAACAAGCTACGACTTCCATGCTTCTCCAGATGATATGGCCTAACCAGACTCTCATTATGAGAGTTATTCTCTGTGCTGCATACTGGGCTAGGAAAAACTTTATAAAACCCTTTTTTTTTTTTCCCTAAAGAGAGCAATTGGTAAGAGCATTAAAATAACTTAAACAGTAAATCATCTTAAAATCTTTGATTCCAATGTTTTATACTATAATTAGCAAATATTTAATTACATAATTCTTCTCTTTAAGATTCTCTGGAAAAGTGCTGGTACTTCTCAACAAATGGACTACATAGCTTGGGTCAGGCAGAAATTATCATTTTATTGCTGTGTTTGCCAAATGAAGATGCTGTTCCTAAAGAAATCTTCAGATTGTTTGTTGACATATATAAGAATGCAGTGAAAGGTAGGGAATCTTAATAAATAGCTTTAAAATGTTCATGTCTTATTGCTGAGCTTCAAAAGGCAACATTCTTGGTGTTGCATTTAATTTTGCTTTAGAGACATTCTGAAACTTGAGAGAGAGTCCCTCTGTCACTTCTATTGTCTTTCTGCTTCAAATTCTAATTCAGTAATTGACACCTTTTTAACATAATCACCTCCAAATGGCCTTTTATCATCCATCTTTCTTTTCTTATTTTATTTTTAACAGTAATATTTTAATATATTGGGACTGTAGATATAAATACTTTGAGCCTCAGGTCAGGAAAACATGTTTCAGGATAGCATGTGCTTTCATGCTATTCTTAATTTTCAAAAACATGCTACTTGTACATAAATTGGACCAACATTTTGTGAAGTATATTTAATTGTTAATAATTAACACTTTTTTTCAAACTGAATTTATTAAAGTGACAAAGCCAAAACTAAATATCTTGGTTGTACCAGAGCTGGTAGTTTGAGACCAAATTTATTGCACTTGGCACTTCAGTAAGTGGTTGCTTTTAATATGTAATCTCTTCAGTGCAATGAACAAAACTGTATGTATTAAAGCAGAAGGGGGGCAGATGTTTGTATATTGGGTGTTTTTTAAAAGCAGTCGTAAAAGACCATGTTAGCAGAGCAATAGATTTCTTCCAAATAGTACTGTGTAAGAATGTCTTTACTTTAAATGTTTAGCTATGTGAAGTTAATTGTTCCTTTCTCTTGCTAGGAAAATTCATAGGAAATTTGGAAAATTTTACCTTTACTGAAAGCTTTCTTGGTAACAGAGATCATGGAGGGTTCCTGTTTGTTACGCCAACTTTTCAGAAACTTGACGATCTCACGTTACCAAATAATCCTTTCCTTTGTGGCATTCTTATTCATAAGCTGGAAATACCTTGGGCAAAGGTTTTTCCAATTCGTTTAATGTTGAGATTGGGAGCAGAATATGGAGGTGAGTTCTACTAGATTTGCTTATTGAGGCCTCAAGTCTGCTGAGATTATGTATAAGTATAATTTAATTTTGCATGCTGAGGCAATCCAGTTTCAAAATATAGATATGTCTTATCCTGCAAAGGCTTGGTGCTTAAGTTTTTGTAGTTCACATCCTAAACAGTTCTTAAAACATATCTGCATCAATACTGATTCAAATTCTGTCTTGCTGGATTCATGGGTGACTGGTGCCTCCCGAGTCTTGTGGGGCACCAGATCACTGACGGGGAGGTCCCCCAGTGGCGATTGCCAAGCCAGCAGCAAAACCAGAAGTGCACTTTGGTTTTGCAGCTGGCACTTCCAGGGGGTGCATGTGCCTTACATGTTGCCAGCAGCTGGTTGCTTCTTGAAACACTGTTAACTTACTTCCCTGATACTTTTATGTGCTATGGCAGTAGCGCTCAATTGAGGGGCTCCAAGACCCTTTCAGGAGTGCCTCGCCACAGATACAACCACCACAGCAACCAGGTGCAATAGCCCCACAGCCAGATCAGGAAGGAATGCAGCACAAGCATGTGTTCCTTGCCTGGATTTGGGTTATTGGATAAACTGAAAGCAAGGCAGGAGCCCTGCTGCAGCCCTTCCCAGTCTGACCCTTTCCTCCTCTCCCCCTCCATGCTGGTCCTGGAAACAAAGGCACGTGGGGCAGTTAGAACTGTTCTGTGTAGCTTTGTTTCCATTCAGGAGGAGCATGGCTGCGGGGAGGGGGTACTGAACTGGGAAGGGCTGCAGCAAGACTGCATTCTCTTGCCTGCTTTAGGCTTATCTAGTTGTGCACGAAGTGCATGGGACAGTTCCGTGGCTGTGGCAGCAGTGACAGCACCCCAGTGAGTACCACTGAGATAAGCTGATGCAGCGCAGCAGTGGTTCTTTACCAGGGTGCTGCCACATTTAAAAAAACAAAACAAAACAAAAAACTGTATGGACAGAGGGTTTACCTGAATCTGAAGTTTGAGAATCCCTGGGCTGTGGTTTGTCCCAATACACACTCCCAGATGCATATAGTTAACTTGTTATGAATTACAGACTTGACTAAATCTCTTTGGGCATCTATACATGTGTTCCGGGGGGGGCACTTTAATTAGAGCAGCTCTGAGAATTGCTGTAGTTAAAGTTCCCATAGCCTCGCGTGTATTCAGTGTCCGTGCTTCAAAATGGTGGCGGGTGCACTTTAACTAAAGCTTGTCAAACAAGCTTTAGTTAAAGAACCTCTGTTGCTAATTTGAAATGTGGGGACGCCGAGTACATGTGACATGGAGGCTGCTGGAGTGCACTAATTAGCATGTTCCAGCAGACTCTGCTCTGATGTGTCAGTTAGCATGTGTCAGAGCAGAGGTCCATCACGTGTATAAGTACTCTTTGGTTTTGGCAACATTCGGAGCCTTTATCTAGGATGCACAGTCTTTAGGGAGTGAAGAAGAGACGTGAAACTAATAAAAATGTTTAGACTTCTGTTTTGGAAACTTGTTTCTCCTGCTTGGCCAGTGTACAGTATAAATAAATGTTTGTGCATTTACAAAGTACCTTAAAAAGGGTTGGATAAACGTCTTGAATCCTTTCTAGATTACCAGGTTTAATATTTGTGAAGTGTTTTTAAGAAGTACTTATTATGAGTGGTTTATTAACCCAAACCTTATATTAGTGTCTAATATATAATCTGGGTTTAAATTCTTCAGCTTGTTTTCCTTCTTGGTAACTAGCAATTCATTCTGTTAAAAGGAAACTGGTTTTTCAATGTCCATTATTACATAAAATATGATTTCCAGATGTTCAAAATGGGATAGAAGGACCTACTTACACAAATGATACTGATTAGTTGTGCAGTTAAATCCTTGTTTGTTGTGGAATTGGTCACCTTTCTTGCAAAGCACAAGGGAGACAACAGCTGTGTCTACACAATGTGAACCTCTTTATGGCTCTCCTCACTTCCAGTGGCTGGTGCCCTCATGTTCACTACATCAGCCTTGTGTTGCTTAGGTTTAACAAAGATACTTTCTTAATGCTTGATGACTTTCTTTTGTCCAGTGAGTGTGGATGCCTGCCATTCTGCATAAACTATCAAATAAAAAGCTAATTAAACACGTGAGAGCAAGCATTTGTGTTAGACACTTGTGTATTTGCATGCATAAATATGTTTATAGTGTATGTAACAAGTGTTGTTGTTTTTTTCCCTTTTAAAAGTATACCCAACTCCTGTAATGAGTATCAGACACCGGAAATCTCTCTTTGGAGAGATAGGGAACACAATCATGAATTTACTTGTTGTGAGTAAATGTTTTAGATGTTTTTTTTCCCTCCTAATTTCAGTTAAGATATGTATGAGTGTGAAATGCTAATTAGAATTTTGATGTGCTTCCATAAGATGGAGTCTTACAAAAGTTATCCTAATAGTTAATTTAGTGGGTATGTCCTTATGCCATAGGCTTTTAGTGTAAATTGTATATTTCAGAGTGTATTCTACCATTGGATTTAGTTAAAATAATGCAATTTTTTTGTTTGCTCCTTTTAAAAAATTGGTTTTTATGGATCAGCTTTTTCAGTATGAAAGCTGTAAAAAATTGTTGGGTTCCTTGCTATTCCCAGGCATTTAGGAGACTGGGGCTGTTGCAGAGGTAATGTGTTCTCATCCAGATTTAATTCTCAATCATGTCATGCTCTGCGAGCCAGAGCATCTCCCCTCCTCTAGTTCCACTCTGGCTCCTCCAGCACGCCAGGAGCTCGGAAGAGTAGGGAAAAGGCAGCTTCCCTGAAGCGTGGCATTTTGCCCCATAACAAAGCCTACATACAGGGCATACTCAGCAGTAAAAAGTAGCAGCATATTTGTGCAGGCAAAAATGCAGTAGGAATAAAGTATAATTACATCTAATGTAAGATACAGTAATGTTTAGAGGGTTTTTTTAAAATTTTCTCATACACATCTTAAAACTGCTAACATGACTTCAATTGAGCTGAAATTTGGGATATTTTAGATGGTTAATGGTAATTATTACCTTACTGTGACTGTCCCACACAATTTGTATCTACTTAAAAAAAAAAAAAAGACATTTAACTTGTTTCGGTATGGTCCAATCCTAGTGTGGACAAGGAAGATGTAATTTAAAAAAGCGTTTAACTAGTCAGGATAAGTGCTAGTAAGTAACAAATTTACATTGGTTGGCCCATACTATAATTTACTTTAGCTAACATATAAAGAGAAAAATCACTTTTCTCCTGCTGCAAGTCACACGTACACACAGAGAACACATATTGCTACTTCAAATGGAGATTCATTTAGCTTCAAGTCTGGAAATGAATGCAAAGATTTGATGGCTGGATTTTAAGTGATTTCATGTTTCTAGAAATGATGGAATGAAGATGTTTAAAACTTGTTGCTGAACATTCAACTGTTTGTTAAAATGAAGGATGTGTTGTGTTTTTTTTTTTTTAATTATAGGATCTTAGAAACTATCAGTATACCTTACATACCATAGATAACTTATTTATTCACATGGAAATGGGTAGAAGCTGCATTAAAATACCTCTAAGAAAATACAACGAGGTGAGTTTAAGATTTTAGATCACAGTAATTTCTGCTAAAAATCCAGTCTTTTTTTCCACCATTTTCCTCATAATACTACTGAATTGTTTAAGACAAGATTTTTTTTTTAACTGTCTTTGAGGGCTGACTAGACTAGAGACTTATCTACAAGACTTAAGGTACAAAATGCCAAAATCCTATTACTCTATGCTGCATGATCATTCCATAGTCATTTCTAAGCCTAGATTGTACCAATAAGCTCTTGGCTGTTGACTGCTGTTGATTTTTGTTCACTATTTGATGGACTATTTAAGCTTTCAATACTGTAACCTTGAATGTATAACTAAAAATTCCCCAATAGCTCATGAAGAAAACATGCATCTCCCTAGCTAGGAACTAAACATAGGTTATGATGGGATGCAAGCACTAAACTGGGATTTAGTCACTGCTATAGCTGCTCGGTTGTGAAAGAAACCAGGATTTAAATCCATTAAATCTTTTCCAGTGGGGTTTGGGCTATCACCTGCTTCTAATATAAGACTTCCCGTGGTCTTTTGGTATAAAGGTAAAATACATACATATTGCTTTTGCTGAAAGCTATTTGAAAAGGCTTTTTTAAGCATAATTTTTTTTTTTTACAATTATTTTTCATTGTTCATTTTGCAATCATTATGCTTGAAATTATGATGGAAATGAGTAATAGATATCTGTTCTGCAGTTGAGTATCCTGTATTAATCACAAAACTTTAAGATCCTCCTAGATTTTGCAGTGCATTTGGATTTTCTTACAAGACCAATGGAAAAAAAACTCGGCTCTGTTTAGAAGTGTACTTACAAGCTGCCTGTCACTTCCAGAGTGCAAATCTTTTAGAATTGATTTTTAAATGTAATTAGCACTTCGGTTTTCTTGTTTATAAAGAAGTTAATGCTTACAAAATGGAGGTACTGTTTTGTTTTGCTGTTCTTTGCTTTAAATAAAGCATGTTGTCTGAAAAATATTAATTAGCTGCATATTTAACAGTAAGGGTCAGTCACCAGCTTTAGCAAAATAAAGCAAGGATTGATGTCAGTTTCTCAATGAGCATTTTGTATTGACAGGTAATGAAAGTGATAAACTCTTCTAATGAGCATGTTATTAGCATTGGAGCCTGTTTTAGTACTGAAGCAGATTCTCACTTAGTTTGTATCCAAAGTGATGATGGAGCCTATCAGACACAAGCAAACAGTGGCACTGGTCACCCTAGAAGAGGTAAGAAATGTAATACATTTTTGTAGCATTCAATCCAACCTCTGATCTAGCATGTACAATGAAGCAATTTTAGGCTATTCCAAGGTATTTCCAAAAGCTTGATTGGCTAGAAGTGATACCTTATTTCAAAAGCTCTAAAGAGCAACTAAACAATAAAAGCATATATGAGGTAAATGTTGGATATAGTGTAAATAGTGACACTGAATTATTCTTATTACCCTTCAACACTGTTACTTGGCTCTACATTTTTAAGAATGTCTCTGCTTAGGATAGCATCATGTAATTGGATTAATTCAGTCTGCATTTTAAATAATGACCAGAAACTTAACCTTTAAAATGCAGAGTGAATTTAGTCTAAACTAAAAAACAAATAAATAAAAAGCTCCCCATTTGTTTATTTTTTAGATATGAAATGTGTAGCAGTTTCTCTTGTAGCAAATTTAACTGTGCAGAAATTATTAATCTGAGTAACATCATGATATTTAGCACTTCTTCAAAACACTATACAAACATTAGGTATTCCTGAATTCGTACAGTCCTACCAGTGATATGTAATGATGATTAAGTAAATGAGTGTTTCTGCAGATTTTAATGCTATTAAAAAGTAATTTTCTTTAAAAATAAAGAAATAAAATTACCTACTAAAAAATGTTTCTGAATCCTAAACCAAGTGTAAAGTTCTAATTATAAGTACAAAATTGGCACTGGGTTGTTTCTAGTCTTCAGACATCTCTTTGGCTATGATGTCTATTCGGCTACCTACGTATTGTGCAACTGCCTGCATTCTGTAGGTATGCTGTAGTAACTTAGCAAAGTTAGTGTATTTCAGATACTGAATTCCTTTGACTGTGAATTCTTATGGCCTTCAGTATTACTTCCTGCAACTAAGGGAATTTTTATGAGTATTTTTTGACATACCATAACGCTTGATAATAATGTAAATACATTTTCAAAAACAATGTTAATAACTAAAGAGTGAACAATATGTATGTATATGTTTACTTTCTTTTTTTTAAGTTACAGGTGCAAGTTTTGTAGTGTTTAATGGGGCCCTAAAATCATCCTCAGGATTTCTTGCTAAATCCAGTATAGTGGAAGGTATGGATTGCTATATGATTCCTTGTTAAGAGGGAAACAATCACTGTTAAATGTTTTTATAAGGATTTGTCTGATTGTTAATTAAACACTACCAAGGTGAGTGTGTCACCTGTTAAAAGGCAGACAAGGTTCCTTGGGTGAATTTGATATCTTTTATTAGACCAACCCGAATAGTTGGAGAATAGTTACTAAGCAAGCTTCCGGGTTCAAAAACCCTTTGTCAGGCTAAGGAGGTTTCAGCAGTTGGTGTATGCTCTTCCTGGATGGAATGAAAAGTAAACAAGCCAGGGGCTGGCCCCTGCAATCATCTGTTAAAATTCACTTATGAATGAATTCTGTTGTGTAAGCAAACAAGCTGAAACACTTTCCTTTTTCAGGTCACCTCTTGCTATATGGGTTTTTCACACCTTGTCAGTTAACCCCCTCCAGGTCGTAGGTACTTCAAAATGAAAGATGTGGAGAACTTAATTTGCTTATTTCCTGTGTTTAAACCTTGCTTTTATGTGACCTTTCATGCCTGACTGAGCTTTAATTTCAGGAAACACAATCTTCAAGCATGTGATACTAACTAGAATGAATGTGTCTCAGTCTTTCCATGTTCATCGAAAAAGCTTTTAGAATTGTTTAATTTTTTTTATAAAGCATTTTAAATATGACCAGGATAAAAGGCTGTATTCTACTCAGCAGCTTGTCTAATTTGCTTTCCTTGAACAATTTAAAATCAGAGTATGTATTGTAGTATTTTTACTAGCTGAGGGTCTGTTAAAGTGCTCTTCCCTCTTTTTTTGAATGTGGAAGCAGAAATTATTTATACTTTTATTTTTGTTTTAGATGGACTAATGGTACAAATAACTGCAGAGACAATGGAAGGCCTTCGTCAGGCTTTGAGAGACAAGAAGGATTTCAAAATTACCTGTGGAAAACTGGATGCAGGAGACCTAAGAGAATATGTAGATATTTGCTGGGTGGAAAGTGAAGAAAAAGTAAACAAGGGGTATGAATATTTGTTAGACTATCTAAGTGTGCAGTCAACAGAGCTTCCTGCGGTCTTCCTATTGACCTTGAAAATAAAGCTGAAGGTTGAAAGAATAGAATATAAATCAGTATCTGGCTATCTAAAGTTGCCAAAAAGGAGAATAAAAACTTCCTGTTTGCCTCTAGATGTCACAGAGAGAACATTTTTTTGAATCTTGTAGTGATAGTAAAGAATAGCACTTCGCTATACCTGTCTTTTTTCCTCATATTATACTCCCAGCATCAAAGCCACAATTCGCCTCCCCAGGGAAGACTGGATTGATTCCTTATAGAGCTCAGTAATGTTATTTATAAGTCAGAAGAGCTGTGCTGTTTTGTTTTTTTTTTTTTTTTTTGTTTTTTTTAGTGCAACTTTCCATGGTTGTGAAGGTCAGAAGTCAACCAGTGTTGAAAGCCAGAATTAGCTTAAGAACCAATATTTTGATGGCTTAAATAGTCCTATTTATGAATAAACCATGGTTCATGTTCAAAATGCTTAATTCAGAATTACTCTTTTTGCCTTAATCTAATGCAATGGTTTTCAGACTGGACTTGACTTGATGTGCTCTACCTAATGGTTTATAGGACCAGTGTGAATGAACAAAGAGTGCCACATGGAGGTGGTCTACCAGGACTCTTTAGAAGTTTGCAAGAGAAGCTAAAGACCTAGTTTCTAAATTAGTGTTATGTCTGTTAGGTATGTTTTAAAATACGCATGTGTATCTGAAGCAGAATTAGATTTAAACATTTATACTGGATGGAAATTGTTCATTTTGTATCCCAAGCATCTATATATCCTAGCTTCTTTTCTCTGCCTTTTTGATATTTATGATGAGTCTCTAATAGTGAAGAAGTTAAAGCTAACAGTTCAAGTAAGATTTTTTTTTTTTTTAAGTTGAATGGCTGATCTTTTCATATGAAAGAACACAATGGAGTTGTTAACAACCTTTTATATACCTTATTCCATAGAGTTATCAGCCCCGTGAATGGAAAATCAATGGAAGGAATTTGGAGTGAAAAACTACTACAAGGAAGAGACTTTGAAGCAGAAGGAAAAGTTATAAAGTGCACCGAAGTAAGTAAAAACTTACGTTGTATTAAAATGTTGTGTTTCCTTATTACCTTAAAAATGATGCTGGTTAAAACAGAACTACCAATGAAGCAATCTCAATTTGTCATGAAGCCTTGAAATGTGCCAGTTGCTATTCTGTAGTGCTTACTTAAAGCAAGTAAGTACATTGGATCAATGTCTTCTGTTATAACTCAGTATACTTAGGAAATGTCTATTCTTGACATTCCCATGGCCATTTAATTAGCAGCCGAGAGTGAGGGGGGGAGGGGGTAACTTCCACTGTATTTTTGGGGACTCTGGGGTCTTCTGCATCTTTCGGAAAGCATCTAGCACGTGTTGGATACCATCCTATTTCAGGAGTAGTAAAATACCCAATATCCATATGTCAAGAAACCAGTGTTAGTATTTGTATGGTTTGTGTGTTTTAAGCTAGAACAGAATAGAGCCATGTTGTCAATTTTATTCTTCTGAGGTAGGGGTGAAGTAGGCCCTGGGCTTCTATCAGCTGCCACTGCCCCAGTAGCTGGAGACTCTGGGTTCCCCTCCCTCTCCTGGCTTCTGCTTCTCATTCCAAACCTAAGGGTGGGAAATTGTGGTGGGATGCAGCCCAGCCCAGGGAGCTGAGGGTGAGCCTGGAGCTATGTAGGCATTCAGTGCAACAGTGGGAGGGAAACAGGCATGTAATACACCAGTGGAGGAGATGCCCAGGCAGTGTAGTGGAGTGGAGGTGGGTGCCTGCATAGTATGCAGCATGGAGTTCACCCTCATGTGTCGCCTGTTGGGGCATCTGGTAGGGCATGTGGCCTCTGGGTGCTTAGAAGTTGACAGCCCTATTCTAAGGAAAGCCACTAACCATGTTCTGTTTTGAATATGATTTCAGGTATTTTATTTTCTCAAGGACCATGAACTTTCTGATCTAACCTCCTCTCAGTTTGCTAAAGATCTTGCTATAGCATGCAGTACTGCTCTTTGTCCACATCTCAAAATGCTAAAAAATAATGGAATGAACAAGATCGGACTCAGAGTCTCCATTGATACTGATATGGTAATTTTTTTAATGTTTGCTGCAAACATAAAACGTTTTAAATGCTGTTATTGAAAATTGTTTGGCTATAACCCCTCTAATCCTTCCCGCATCCTACAATGGATGTACCTGGAAAGCATTCAAAGTAGATCTGAGAAATGTTTAAGATTTTATCTAAGAAATGCAAATTTTTATGTTGTTTAGCTGCAAATTTAAATTTATGTTTTTGTTGTAGGAGAAAAATCTCTTCGGTTAGTGTTTGGCGATCAGTGACTAAGTAACAAAGTAACAAATTGAAACATTTCTGATACATGCATATTATTCCTGATTTGTTTGTGTCTGAACTAGCAACCGTTTGAAGTGCAGAAGGTAGATGATTGCTCTTCAAGCAGGAATATTCCATATTTTTAAAGAGCAAACCTTTTGCCTGGTTAAGGAATGTTGTGTTTATGTTGTGGCTTTTTTTTAGTCTCCCATCCTTGGTCAATACTACTTTGTATAGTAGAAAACTTGAGCTGGAAGATGCTAGTTACACACGGTATTTACTGTCTTTCACTCTTGTCTTGACATCTCATTGACTCACTTTTTCTTTCAGGTTGAGTATCAGGCAGGATCTGGAGGCTACCACCTTCCTCAGCATTACCTAAATGAACTGGATGGTGCTCTGATCCCAGTGATCCATGGTGGATCATCAGACCCCACAAGTTTACCATTGGAAATGGAACTAATATTCTTCCTTACAGAATCTCTCTCTTAATGCAAAAAACATTGTTTGTTATATGTGATGTACTGATTGGCTTAGATTAACTGAACACCAAAGCTTTAAAGCTAAAAAAACACTAAACATTTCTAGGTTTGTTAAAACAAAATTAAGATCAGTAGTAGACAGTTAAACTGGATTTTGATTTTTACAGAACTAACAAACTTCTGTGTTACCCCACCATAAAAACAGGATTGTAGAGTTCAAGCTTTCTTAAGTTTCTGAGAGTTTACACTTAATAGTCACTGAAAAAGGCAAGGACTTATCTCTCTAAGCAAGCTGTAGCGTTTTACTTGTATGAACTATCAAGCCATAGTATCTGGCTCTTGCCTCTTAACCTCAAGCAAATGTTTTAGTAACAGTCCTTAAGATAAATTGTAGTTGCAACGTGACACTTGCTTTACATGCATATAGAAGTGATCTGTACTTCTGGTTTGGGGTTTTGTTTTGTTTTTTCTTTTTAAAACTTGTGAAGGATATTTAACTGCCACAAAGCTGTTTCTTGCCATTGAGGTTCAAATATGAAATCTTTGGGTTGGACTGCAAACCTCAAGTAATGGTGCATGTTTGGAATCTGCCTGCATAGTCTGATAATTGATTGTGCAAGGGGAATAAACAGCAAAACTTTCCCATGTTTTTTAAAGATTTTGTAATTGGGGTTGTCCTGACTTTTAAAATTGGCACAATTGATAAGTTTGGTGCTTTGGGAACTTGTGCTTCTAAACAGTTTTTTTTGTATAGAATAACTGATTTCATTATGTATTTATAATGGACTTATCTCACTTAAATGGATACTATTTTTGTATTTAATTGATTATCTCTTCTTTTGTGCTCAAATGTACTATTGTATTTAGGACTTCTGAGAGTGATTTAAGAATAGGCAAGATGACCCTTAAAGTAGTCTTCATGTAGCAATAAACTAGGCTTGAAGCCTGTAATACCTTTTCTGCACCCTTGTCCAACTTTTGAGATCTCTTGGTAGCCCTCTGTTTTCAGGGAGAACAGTGTATTAAGTGTGAATTTTCCTGAACGGTTTGCTTTAGCATACTTGGTATTCTTTGTATAGCACATATTTTTGATATGGGGGTATTAAGAAATAAGATCTATTTATGTACTCATGATGCATGTAATCTGTACCTAAGTACACATTCAGTAAACTACAATCAGGTTTGATAATAGTTGCTTATCTGTTTACTATAAGCAGAACCAAAACAAATTATATCCAAAATCTACATAATTTGTGTGAAACATCAAAATTTTAAGAGTGAGAAGTTATCACAAACCTTATTATCTAGATGCCTTGATTCTTATAGGGGATATTGATATGTTTTTGTATCAAAAACGCAATTTATAACTTAAAATCAAGTCAGTGCCCTTCTTACCTGCAGCTTGAAGACTCATGTTAAGGGGGAGGCTCAAGATTCAAAGTTTAAGCAGACAGACTGAATTGGATGCAATTTCTTGAGAGAGATTGCACACAGCAGGCTAGTGAAAGACACTAACGTACAGTAGAAACAATATGTCCATTTTTTTGGAAATAGTTAATAGGGGGAAAAGTGGCGCAAACTATGTTTGAACATGAATTGTCAAATAATAAGTATTATCATGTTGTTTGTCAATGTCAAATAGAGCTTTACCAGAGAAAAGCAATTCCCAAGACTTGTCTTGATATAGTGGTCCCATAATCCATGGAATACTAGTTTGTCCCACGTGTCTCTCTTTTTAAGGGAGTGTTTAAACTCTTTCCATTTTAGTACATTTCAGTTTAATGATCACTAACCAATAAAACTGATCAATATGTTTAACAGATGCAATAAGATGATAATTCTTTCTTCTTTTTGTTTTATAAAAAGCCCCTGACACGCACTTCTTGGCTTTTTCATATTTTGTCACAGGAATTTTCTGTTTCCAGGTATTTTCTTTGTTTAGCACTGCCATTGCACCTGGAGCTCTTAGTCTGCCCCTAACCTGTATTTATACCTAAATGTGACTTGTGTTGGTATGGCCTGTATCTTCATCCGTTTCTCACCAACAAATAAATGGACAAACATTTAGGTTTCATAGTTGGCTTCTGGGTTTGGAAGAAAACAAATAAACAAGTATTGTTCCAGATTGGAAATAAGGGGTAGCAAGCATATTTGGTGATGGATAAGGATGGATGGAGGAGAAAAGCATTGCATGTCTGTCTACATAGTGGTTGTTAGAATCAGGTTTATTTCTAGTGCTTAGGACTGAGGAGCACAAAGCAAAGGGATGTGCTTCTGCTTTGAAATTCTTCAACTCCCTGGTTAAGAGGTGGGAGGTAGCTTCTTGGCTAGCCGTTTGCAACCTGTACTTACTGATAAGTTTTTTGTTGTTTTCTTTTGTTTTGAGGAGGGAAAAAACTACCTTAGCCTGTTTTGGAGTTTCTAACCTAGTTTATTTCAAGGAACTTTTAAGTGCCCCTCTCTTCCTACTATTTTCTTTTGTAGTTGCACAGCACTGCCATTCTTCAGTCTGGTATTCAAGATGGCATGTCCTCCTCCTCCATATCTTTCTTAATGTGTTCCTGCCAGACAAGTGCCTTTGACTGTGTTATCAGTACTGCCTCTTCCTAGTACCTGTCATGCTCACTGGTGTGACTTAGATCAACAGCAGTTTGCTACTCTATGCCATTGTTGAGGGACTGTTTTACAGCTAAGCCCACCTCCCTCATCCTCTTCACACTGAGAGCTCCCCTTTCCCACAGGGCCATTTGTGCTTAGTCTCTCCCTAGGGATGCATTCCCTAGCAACACAGGAGTGCTGAATGGCAAATTCTGAGATCCATGGGTCACATAAGGGGCTGGGGGCTTGTAGAGCTCCAGCAGCCTGGAAACTCAAACCATTCTCTTGGCTGTTAAGAAGGTTCAGATGGAAAGGCTGTCCATGCACTCTCAGAGCAAAGAACATCTGTTCCCAGGACTGCCTACAGCTCTTGAACCCAGTCCCTTAGCACTGAAAGGACTGCTTCCACGCTAAGAGGTAAAAAGATGCTTCTTCAGAGTGGCACCTGTGTTGTCTTTGATAAGCTGACAGCATATACCATTGTGCCACAATCTGCAGCAGCTGCTTTGGCTCTGGTTGGGCTTTCCTCCTTACTACCATACTCCTGCACTGGCACTGCTTCTCAGTCTAGTCCTGCCACTTCAGTCGCCAAAGGCTTTGTCATCCTTGTGCTTGTGGAAACAGCTGTTCTGTCCTCTATCTAATGTGTTTCTGGTGATGTACTTCCTGGTTCCCTAGGGCCTTGGGGCCTGTATCTCCTGATAAAAGTGAAACAATAGCTCTAGTTGCTTGAGGGCATGTTGTTCCTGGGCTGGATTGCATCTGCCTCTTGCTCCAGAGTAAGCGTTCATGTATGCAACCTTGGACACTTCTATCTGCACCCCTCCTGTGAAGGAGAAAAACCCATTCAGTCCCATGACCCGATGTCTCAGCCCCTTGCCTGGGGCAAGGGTTGAGGTGCCTGCCCCCTCATTGAGGAGCTGCACTAACTGCAGTGTTAACGGATGGACCTTATGGCCACAAGAAGCAGTGGTGGTGGCAGACTGCGCAGCCGGGATCAAGAAAGGGACTGGATGAACTCATGGATGAGAGATCTGTTAATGGCTACTGAACAGAAGAGTTGGAGGTGTTTCTTCTGGCATCTCTAAACCACCACTGGTGGGTGCCAGGGCGATGCTGAACCTGCAGGGACCATTCC